TTTTCAAAGGATTTTGCAGGACAAAAGTGAGTACCCTCAAAACATAAGTTGTTTCTATTTTCCACAGTCTCCAAAGGACCCAAGGCCACAGCCTTCTTATTTGAGCAGGAACCTGAAAATTCTTTTGAACCTCAAATAAGAACTGCATATTAGCAAAAATAGCACTTATACCAAAGCCAAATTCTGGAGTAGGGACACCAGAAATAGCCCACACCTGACGTGCCACAGAGCATGTAAAGAGTACATGATTTATGGATTCTCCTTCTTCTCCACAAATCTGACACCTTGGATCACTTTTCATACCTTTATGAATAATCTGATCAGCTACTGGCAAAGCAGCACACAAAGCACGCCAGATGAACAATTTTATCTTTGGAGCTGAAGGGATGGACCAAACTTTTTCTTTGAGACCATTAAGAGATGGGTGAGAGGTTGCATTTCTGATAAGATCAGATTTGTTATCCTTAAATGCTAACCAGTAACCAGTCTTAACAGAGTATTCACCCGACTTTGTGTGCAGCCAGACCCAAAAATCTTCCACGTTCACTACTGGATTCTTCTTTATGATGATCTCAACATCCACTGGATAGAATAAATCATCAAGCACCTCTCTGTTCCATCTTCTGGATTCAAAGTCAATGAGATCTTTAACTTTCAAGCTCAAATTAACAGAGAAGTGTTTCATGAGAGGAGTTCTTGGACCATGATCCTGATCAAAGAGCCAAGGATCCATCCAAACACTAAGAGAATTACCATTACCAACTTCTTTCCTTAGACCTTTCAAAAGCAGTTCTCTTCCGTGTATTATGCTCCTCCAAGCATAAGAAGGCCTAGCTCCAATTTCAGCTTCCAAGAAATCATCCCCATCAAAATATCTGCTCTTGAAGAATCTAGCAAAGAGACAGTTTGGATTCTGTAATAACCGCCAAGCCTGTTTTGCCAATAAGGCTTGGTTAAAACTTTGGATATCTTTGAATCCCAAACCACCTTGATCTTTAGCTAAGCATAGCTTCTCCCAACTAACCCAGTGAGTTTTCCTCTTATGCTCAAAGGAGTTCCACCAAAAGTCTGACATTGCACTTGTCAAGTTGTCACAAGTGGTTTTTGTCAGTTTGAAACATGACATCGCATAAACCGGGAGGGCCATTGCAACCGCTTTCAGAAGAATCTCTTTTCCCCCCATAGACAAAGTCCTTGCAAACCAACCTGAAAGTCTAGCCTTTAGTCTTTCCTTTATGTAGTCTAAGAGCTGAATTTTAGACCCACTAAAACACTCAGGAAGACCGAGGTAAGTACTAGCTCCTCCTTCATTCATTATGCCTAGCTCAGTTTTAATCCAACCTTTACAACTCTCATCAATCTTAGCACCAAAGGTGATTGAAGATTTGTCAAAATTGATTTTTTGCCCTGTTGCATG